TTGTAGCATCCGGTCGCGGTGGTAGTTCAGGAAGTTCTCTTTCATCCTCGTTTGGCTCGCTGTTGGTCAGGTCGGTGTATTCTCGTCGAGGTAGCATATCAGCCAGTGTCCGCCATTTGCTCGCATCTTCTTGTCCTGATGTCTCGTAAGCAAAGCGTTCAACTTCGGTAACTGGCCTCACAGAATGTACTGAACACCGGTACAACCGAGAGCCAATCAGTACCCAGACGATGTGTCTTCTGTGGTCGCCCTGTTCTTGTTCAGGAAGGACTTCATGAAACACAACTCTTCCTGGGCCGATCCAATGAGGTCGTCCTGACATCTTGAAGCCACCGCGGGGTCCTCGATGAATTTCTTGTGGCCATAGTTTGCGCCAAATCTTCACCAGGCCCATCTCCTTGATCGTCCTTATAGGCTGTCGCACCGTGCTGTTTGACAACTTCGTAAGGATTCGTTGTGACCTCGATTTCAACGCTAGTAGAGAACGTCCGCACATCCTCATCAGTGATGCTGTAGTTCTGGCCATAGGCCCATTGAAAGGCCGAGTAGCCTGCCGTGTACTCCGTGGAGTTCAATGCTGACACAGTGAGCTGCAGCGTAACAAATGGGTGTTGTTCCAACGCATCCAAATGTATAGCTGTGGCTGTTCGCTTCACATCTTGTACTGCAGCTTCAGAAACTCCATGTGCCCAACTCTCCTTGTCGGCCACGTAGTGGGGCATGATGTTCACGGAAGACAAGAACTCATGCATTCTTTCCGATGCGAAACTGTAAGCTGCATCAAAGATCACAATCTCCGGCTTGGGAAAGCAACCAAGCCATCTTTCGGAGAAGGCCTGGATAACCTCCTCCGTGGATTCCGCCTGCATCGCCACAACCTCGTAGATCATCATGGGTTGGACAACTCGCAACTTGGTCGCCATGTCCATCAACAGAATGAACTTGGCCTTTTTCTTTGTGCCAGGAATGTTCCATTCGGCTGCATCGACCGTTACTGCTTGCCATGCCCGATACATGGGGGTAGTCGTGGCAGGAGGTATGCTTCCTGAACTCGTGCCACCAGGTCGAAGTGACTCACAGGCTGGACACTTGTGATTCAAGGCACCCTGCACCTTCCACTCAGCATGGCCACCATCTTTAATGATCCTTGCCAAATTCTTGTTTGTTGGATGCCCAGCTGCTCCGTGGATCTTGCTGACCTTCGCTTGCCATGCATCCCATTCCGCTTGTGGTACATCTGGTTCTCCTTGTGGTGCATCGGCACTGAAGCCAAACTTGCCAGAGATAGCCTTGGTGCATGCTTTGAGGTTTACGCCAGAGATAGCCTTGGTGCATGCTTCATAAAATAAATGACCACGAGAAGGATCTGGGATGCCAGCTTCTTGCTCTCGACTTGGTTGTTGTAGTAAACAAGATTGTAGTACAGAAGGATCTGGGATTCCAGGATCTTGCTCTTGACTTGGTTGTCGTGTTGACCCTTGGATTTGTCGTCGTGGTAGTGGAAAACCGCCTTGTTGTAGTTGATGTCGCTCTTGGGAATTGATTTCATGAATCAATCTTGTGGTAAAGGCTGAAATTCCAATGCGAAACCCATTCCATGACTACGTGGCACGTGTCACCCGTGGGTCAAAGACAACTGGCTTCTTGTTCACATCCACCACATGGCCAACCTGAAAACTTCCATCTGGCATTTGTCGTCGCACGGGTTGTTGTCCTTGAGGTGGTGGTTGTTGAAGCCACAGCCCGCCGCCACTGAATTTGCCCAGGGTCAATAACACATTGTTAATTTGTGGTAGGTTGTGATGGTCTCTGTGTGGCTGCGTCTTGAGATTGAAGCTCACCATCACCGTGGACCATGTCTCTTGAGGAACTTGTAGTCGTAGAACGGCATTAATGAACTGAACCAACTCGGGATGGTTGCCAGTATTGACCGTCACACCACTGAAGGCGCCGTGGGAATAAGCTCCGAAGACGAAGATGTTGTGGTCCTTGATGGTACCGCGTCCATGTGCCTGATCACTCTTGCCCGTTCCTCGAACCGATTGTAGTAGATGAAGAAGAACTTGTTGTAGATGATCCAACTGGAACTGCTTGCGCAGTCGTGCTTCGCGGGCCACATGTTCGCATCCAATTCTGTCGCTTGCTGACATGGATATAGCTAGGCCATCCACCGTAGACATTGTTCCGTCCTGGTCCGCCTCGACAATCAACTGTTCAGCTGCTCCAAAATCTTCATCATCACATAGTCCCGGTTGATCTTCACATAGAGAAAGTAGTTGACGATGTCGATGGGGTGCCATTTGGTCTCTCCAATGTCGGGTGATGGATTGCACAAGCTTCCACGGGTAGAAGTTCTCGTTGGCGCTGAGTTGGCCAGCATCTCCGCGATGGTGTCCATGATTTCCCGGACACACCTTGGCCCGGTAGGACTTGTGGAACAGCTCATCGGTGGTCTTGATAAGCCATTGTTTCTTCACGAAGAGACCATCATTTGTGTTCTTCATGCCGTAGTTGCAGCCGTCAATTCGGCATGACAACCATGGTATTCCCAATCCTTCAAGATGAGCTGCCAGATCTTCCATGGGATGTTGTCGCCAACCTGAGCAGGGATGCGGCCACTCAACGTAGATGTCCACCTCGGGGTCGTTGAGAAGGATGTCCTTCACAAACTGGTTCATTTCCCATAGGAGACGCCTTTCCTTGCGCCGTCCAGTTTCAAGCTTCACCTTCTGGTCCTCGTCGTTGTAGTCCATGGCCTTCCAGTTGCACCACCTTGCAAATGGTAACGAAAACCAAACTCGTCGAGGACGGTGTTTTTGTTGAAGAGCTCGTAGTCGCTGCCAGGTCTCCTTCTGGTAGAGGTCGTACCCGTTCACGTAGTCAATCCTTCGGGGGCGTAGGCCATGTTCTTCCGCTGATGTCGTCAACCAACTGTGGGGTCCACAGGAGACTTCCCAAAGACCATCTCTTCCAGTCATGTGTAAATCCACCAACATGGCCGTGAGTGCCGTCGACAACATGGCTGACATAGCCACCACCTTCTTGCCCATGTAGAGCGGTAGAGAGGAGTCCTTGGGCTTGTGCATCACTGCTCCTGCTCGAACTGGCTCTCGTAGGCTGCGATCAGCTCCGTGTCGGGGTCCATGTGTTCCCAGTTCGACGTCGTGGTCGTCGGCGAAGGATACCCTGATGTTGCGGCCTTGGCCTTGCGCTCCACGATGGCCTTGTTCAACACCACCTCCGCCGGTTCAACACCACCTCCGCCGTGATCTTGTCCATCATGTGCTTGCAGATTTGTGCCGTTGGCAGCACATCTCCCATCAACGGTTGGAGCTGAGTCATTGCCTTCACGGTCGGTCCGTTCATCACCGATGTGGTATTTGCTGGAGCGCCCTTCCTCGGGGTGTAGAGGAGTCGATAGTCGCACACCATGCAGTGTATCCATTCGCCCCACCGGTTGGACTGTGGAGGTCCCGGTTGATGCCGGCCATGACACGGCCACTGTTGCTTGCTTGACCTGGGGTCCCGCGCATCGGCCCGCATCCTTCGACTGGGATCCAAGGATGGTGCCCGCTGCTTTGGGCCCTTCTTCTTGGCTGCAGCCGCTGCTGCAATGATCTGCTCGTCGGTGGTCTCCGGGGGAGCGCTCGAGGAGGCTGCCATCGCTCGGAGAGGAACTTGTAGAGGAAGTCGTGGGGATAGCGCGTTCGGTGCTTGAACGACACATTTGAGCTGCAAAAGGTTGCCGGGGACGATGCATTTCGAGAGTGATTGTACAGCGTCAACAGCCGACTCCGAGACAACTCAAGCTCACGTGCATCATACTGTTGGTCTGACACATTCAGATCAATCCACGCAGTCCACAGCTCAAGCATCTGTTGGGAATAGTGAAAGCTGCTGCTATGATTGAGTTCACGCACAACTACATGAGCTTGACCTTCATCGCAGCGCTGACCATTAGTTAGGTAATGGACGATATCCATGGTGAAGTGCCCTTTCTTGTTGACGGAGAGCTGGAATATTTCGGGACGAACTTCCTTTGACAACATTGCAAGCCCCGTAGAGAAATCAATCAACATGCCAACACCACCAGATCCCAGGAAGTCCATACCTATCAAAATGGGAACTAGGGCTGATCGGTCAAAGTTTGCTTGGTAGTACTCAGCAGGATTGGGCAAGGTGTACAATGAGAAACTCCTGGAGGAACCCGATGCGCAACTGCATATGGTTACCTTACACTCCGCTCTGCCCCACTTGCCGTTCCCAAACCTGAAGTATGGCCGCGCTGACTGATCGAGTTCAATCCGAGCGTTCTTGTCCTGACTCAAAACAGCACTGATCAAGGACTGTACAATCGCCTCCGGTGCTGCCGAAGCTGTTGCTCCGCAATCGAGAAGTCCATTCTGCGCCGAGGGTGGATCGGACGAGGCCACGGAGTGCAGCTCGTTGACTTTATTGAGCTCGAGACCTCCAACGAAGTACTCGCTGGCCATGTAGGCATTGACGGATCGACTTCCATCCTTGCCCTTCGCCTTGCCCTTGCTCTTCCCTTTTGGCCACAGCCCTTGAGCTTCGAGCCACATCCCCTTCTTCCCTTTGCTCTTGC